CCACTTTCTATGGGACTTGTTCCCTCATCTGATTCAGTTTTCTCCTCGGAAAAAGCCTCCCTTGACCGATGAAAGAACAGCCCTCCTGTTCTTCCCCATCTCCCTTCCCTCCTTATCAGGCATATTACCATTTGGCACATAAAAGCTTTTTGTGCATTGGTTTATTATCCTGTGTTAGGCAGTTAGAAATGAGCAGGGCAAGGACAATAGGCCAGGTACAGAAGGTCACCAGGGTGGAAAGTCACAGCTGATTAGCAGTGGGCAAAACTGGAAAACAAGGACCTCGGCCCCAAGGTGACCTTTCCCCTTCTGGCATATTGTTGGTCAAGCTGTTTAGACCACTTGACCTTTCGTATCACAGGTCACACGGTTCAGGCTCTCCCCTGGCATTTTGCTAGTCATGCAGGTTAGACCCCCTTGGAGGAGTACTGAACACAGGGGTGAGACAATAGCCCTTAAGCATTAAGCCCCCAGGACAAAGAGGCTCAGAAAAGCAGCCAAACCCGACAAGCTACACCATGACTGCCTCAGGACCAGCTGCCTTGGCTAATGACCCCCTGAAAGGACACCCCTGGAAAGCTGATGAATTTCTATTGGGTCCTCCCCTTAGACCTCCAGATAAACACCCTCAAGCCAGAGGCCCGGCTGTTCTCTGTGGAGCACACCTGGGCCTCTCCCTCCTCCTTCCCCAGATGGTTTCCAGTCTCTCTGCTCAGCTCCCAGGGCCCTTCTTTTCCTCTGTAATTTGTTTCCTGGGCCCGTTTCTTCCACAGCTCACTTCTCCCTCTGTGACCTTCTAAATAAACGTTCTCTTATAATTTGAGTCTTGGCTCTGATTTTTTTTTTTCTTAGCCAGAACTCAAGTACCGAGGTTGCTGAACCAAGGTCTGTTCTGACTCTGCCGGTCTAACACCTGGTGCCATTTTCGCCAAACATCAGCTCCATGAGAGGGGGCATTGTTTTACCCCCGCCGCATCCCTGGCATTCCAAATTTCACTTTACTATCATTATGCTCTGCCCCTTATCAAGTCAACAAATTCAGTTCAAAGCAGTGCCAGGCAGTACATGCTTTCTGAATGACTGCTTTTTGTCTCGAGAGGCACATATACACAAGGCACCATCCCAACAGCCTTCAGAGCCTAGAGAAAAATGAAGAAGTTTACCCGAATAACTAAAATGAAGCCACACAGCCTTATAGATTCTGTGACAGGCAAAGAACTGGGAATATAGAAGAAGTCTCCTGGAGGGACTGGCGCTATAATTGGGCTTTTCCGAAGGCATCATACGGTTGACGACCTGGTATGGAAGCGGAGAGCTTTCCAGTTCCAGGAAACTGCTATCAAGGAGGCAAAATCCAGGGTATGTGCAAGGAACAGAGGAAATGAGTGAGGAAGAGGAAGAGGGAAGACTGAAAGATACGATGCTTGAACAGTGTGAAAGGATTTGAATGTCTCAGCATATCCGCCCTGATCTGACTCTCCTACATAGGAGGGCACACTGCCCAAGTCAGCAGAACTATGCGGACATGCCCAAAAATCGCCAAAACACTTTGCTGTCGCCCTGGACGCAGGCACAGCGTAACCCTCTGCAGAGTTAAGTGCGCCTCGAGAAGAAAGGGAAACCAGGCACAGTCCGTCAAAGGTCAGGGGCCGGGAGTTGGGACGCGTCGGCCAGACACAAACGTGTCCTGCTGGCAGGAATGCTGGTTTCCCCGCGCCCGGAGAGGCGCGTCGGCGGGGCTCCTGGGTCACCGCGTTGCTGAGATGACTGGAATCCGCAGACCTCGCCGGAGCAGCCGGAGAGTGAAAAACCGCAGGGGGAGACGGGGCTCAACATTTCAATTCCTTTGGGTTTGTTGTTTTGCGTACGATCTCACTAGGTCCTCGCCAAGCTAGGGGCCAACCCTCCTAGTCACAGTTTACAGAAGAAAGGTGTTTTTAGAGCTCCTGATAGCCCATCACTGAAACCCTAATCAGATCTCACTCACACTCTTTCCAGAAATGAGACGCCGGTAACGGCAGGGTGTGGGTGTGTTTTCCAAGAGCTGAGAAAAAAACGAAAGGTGCCTAAACCATCAAGGGGGTGACTGCTACCCTGAAGGCAGCTGAGCCTGTGTTTATTCTTCAGAACACGCAAGGCTCGCGGGGCGGGCACAGGCTCGGCGTCCCGGCTCCTTCGGGCTCCCCCAGGACCCCGAACCACCTGGCGGGAGCGGTGGGAAAGGTCCACTTCCTGCCTCTCACGCCCAGGCCGCAGCCGTCCTCTGAAGTCCGCGGGGTTGCCGGAGGGCCGGCGGAAACCCCAACGCGATTGGCCGGGTCGTTCACACTCTTCCCGCCGCCCACAAAGCAGCGCAGGCCGCTCGCCGCGGCGGGGAACGGCGTCCCCGGCCGCCGCCGCCGCCGACAGTCCGGCGTCTGGAAACGCAACCCGCTCCGCCCCCTCACGCCCCGCCCACTGCGGCTTGGCTCGGCCAATCCCGGGCGCCGCCGGGGGCCGCGCGCCCCGGCTGACGGAATAGACCCTACGTCACTGCGGCTCGGCCCGCCCACTTCCGGCGCCCGGCGGGCCGTGGGAGTTGGGCTCGGTGGCCCACGTTCCGGGGGCATTTCACACGAGGTGGGAGCAAAGCCGAAGCGGTTCCCCGGGCCCCTCACAGGCCTCGGTGTCAGAATTTCCCCCTTGCGCCAGCGCTGCCTCAAATGTCAGGGCTCGCCCACTCTTCTCCAGTCTCGACGACCTAACCTTTCGGGGGCTCCGGAGGGGAAATTCGCTGTTTTTGCCGGACCTCTCTAGCGGTTCTGAACCCAGCCTTTAGTGGATGTTGAAAAATACGTTTATTTAATGGCCCACATGGCTTCTTTATGTCCAATAACTTCAGTTTAACCCCGACCCCTTTAACGAATAGCAAACAGGTGAAAATGTTAACTTCCCGCTGCACATAAAACTTCCCATTCACCGTCTGGTAAAAGGAATTTGAGAAATAAGATGAAAATAGGAATAAGAAATTAGTTGAAATCACATCGTAAACTGCAGTGTTCTACAAATGTGAAGTGTTGATCTGTAGCCGTAGTCAAAGAAAGGAAGGAACATCTTGTAGGGTGAAATTAGAATGATACTTAGCAACGTTTACTGAGCACCTGTATGTGCCAGAGTCTGAAACAGATGCTAGGGATTCAGCAGTGACCAAGACAGAAATGTCCCTTCATGGACTTCACAGGATTAAGGGGACACAGACAACAAATAAGTAAACAAAAGACAAGAAAATGCCCGGATACATGCTATCAATAAAATAAATGGATACATTCCTGGGAAATAAGTGTGTTATTTAGCAAGATGAGATGCAAGAGGTAAGTGACCAATGAAAATAAATGACCTGGTAGCAGTTTCTTTGCTATTTATTGTAATCAGGCTAATTCTAGGGAGATTTGCTTTTGGAACCAGGATCAGAAAGGCCATGGGTGACTGTTGCTAATGTAAGGGGAGGTGAAAACTTGACCTCCACCTTCTTAGGTTCTCTGACTGGGCCTGAGAATTAAATTTACCTGAAATGATTAACAGGAAAAAAACATACACATTTATTTAATACAAGTTTTACCGTGACCTGGGAACCTTCATGAGGAAATGACCCTAAGAAGTGGCAAAGCTTAAATGCTTATATACTGGGTTGAACACAGAGACAATTGTGGAAAAGTAAAATGGGGAGACTAAAGGAAGATACGTTATTTTAACAAGCAAGGTCTCTTTGTACACATTCAGCCAGACTCAACTCCCTCTCCGGTGGTAAAAATGTCTCTTTCCTCCTGGCATAGGAAGGGCTATTCTCACATGAGAGTTTCATCTTCTGCTTTCAGTAAGAAAAAAAAATGGGAAGAGGAGTGCTGTTTTGGCATCTGCTGTTTTCCAAATGTCTTCAACTCAAAATAATTAATAGGCTAAGGCTGCGTGTTTGGAGGTGGCCTGTCCTAAACTCCTTCACTAACATTATCAACAGTTTCTCCATCTTTGGATTGTGAGCTCCACAGGGCAGAACAATATTTCTTAATTAAATGTGGCAAGCGCTGCAAGAAACCGAAGAGTCTTTTAGTTTGTTTTTTCCGCAATGCATAAACACGTGTGAACTGTTGACTTGTTGAATAAAAGATGTGGTGAGTGGGATGAGGTTGTTCTACCTGGAAATAAGAGACAGAACTAGGAAGTCCCTTCATTACCAATTCCAGAGTAATGTTTTTTGGTAAATGGCTTAATTTTTTTACGTTGTTCTGTAAATGTGTGACTATAAAGTTAAGAGTGTCATGAGTGTTGCCGACTTATTAAGTAATATTGATAGTCTATTGTGGGTAGTGTGAAATCTGGCATCAAAATATCTGAATTTGACCAAGACTCTGCAGGACGTTATACAGTCATTTCACCCCTCTGGACCTCAACCTCTCTATCTGTGAAATGGAAATTATGTTAATACCTGCCAAGAAGTCGATATATCTAAAACCAATAAATGAGAAGTAATAGTATTGGTGTAATGTTTAAAAGTGCTGAGATAATTATCAGGTGAAACATTTAAAGAGTTGAAAATATTTGCCTCTGAAGAGCAGGGCTGTTTTTCATCAAGAATTATGAGCCTTCTAATGCTTTATCAATGATCTATTGCTGTGTGCAAGGAACAACTCTATTTCAAGAAAATGCAAGTTTAAAGAAGCCAAGGCTCTGCAATCGGGAAATGCACCTATGGGCTGCGGCCAAAAAGCGGGTTAATTCTATCGGGTGTTGTGGACAGATCGGACCTTGCCATTCGGGGGCGGGGCTTGGTGCGCACGCTCGAGTCCCGGGATTCTCGTGGTACTTGATGTTCCAATGGGAACTACACTAAGACATTCGGGACGCAGACAGGCAGCCCTCTCCGAGGTCAATTGAGCCTGCCGGATGTGACGCAACGCGATGGGAGCGGCGTGCGTCTGCGCAGGGAGGGGCGCTGAGAGGCCCGGCGGCAGCGTGCGTCTGCGCAGTGCGGAGCTGAGGACCTGTGTCGGGCGGTGTGCGTGCCTGTGTGCGTGCGTACGTCCCGTTTAGTCCGGTTGTGGTTTAGTTGTCCCGGTTGTAGAAGTGCCGCCGAACGGGAGGAGGAGCCGCGTCTGTGGGAGGAGAGGCGAGGTTCAGGTCGGGGCCTGGGGCGCTCGGCGCGTGCACAGGCCGTGGGTGGCGAGTGGGCGCCTGGCCCCCCGGCTGGCCCGTCCCGCGCCGCTGGGCGGGGCCTCGGGAGGAAGCACCCCTAGGCCGGGTCCCTGATCCCCCGCGTCTGAGGACCGTGCGGCATTCTAGTATAAGCGGGTAGACTTTCGACTGCTAGCGTGGTAGCAGCTCTAAGGCTTCCCAAGTTATGTGCACAGCATCTCACCAGTTTGGAACTAGTTCATCCTGTGTTTGTTGAAATCGTTTTATTGAAATCTGTTTTGCATGGACAACAAACCCCCAGAGAAAGAATAGGCTCCAGTCCATCCAGACCCTGCTGTAGCAGCTGTCGTTGACGACGAGAGCTGACTAGTCAGGTTGCTCTTAGCGATGGGGGATTCCCATCTTTCGACATCGTAAAAAAACACGTGTTCCAATATTTAACACCGTTAACCCACCACCCACCCTGCTCCGAATTTTTAGTAGTTATTGGAACTTAAAAAAAAAAAAAATCCCCTCCAAAAATTTTACAGGCTAATTGCTAACGACTGTGTCTTAGGTTTTTGCCCCAGAAATTATATTTAATTGTTTCTCTATAAAATGGTACTTCAAAAAAGACCTTCTGTCTCCCTGCATTGTGTAAAATGCAAGACCCATGTCCTTGTGTTTGAGAAAGCTTCATTTGCAATATTTGTTAGAAATTGCATTTATTTAAAAACATGGTAAGAGAAATTAATACAAGGGTTAGCAACTAGACTGTGTTTTCATCTCAAAAATACAGCAATTGAAATTCTATATAAACTGTTATTAACCTACAATTTTTTTTTCATATTCAGTTGTATTTGTCTAGCAGAACTTTTTCCCTGGGAGACACATAGTTACTCTGCTTAAAAATGTTCCTAAACTTTAAAAATGCTTAAAACTTAAATAAATGTTCCTATTCCAGGGTTACAGTGAAAGTTTTTGAAAATCTTTTTTTTTTTTTTTTTTTTTTTATTAAGTCTTTAAAAAATACAACATAAAATGGCTTCAAAAAGAGCTCTGGTTATCCTGGCTAAAGGAGCGGAGGAGATGGAAACGGTCATCCCTGTAGATGTCATGAGACGAGCTGGAGTAAGTCCCTCGACGTTTTCTAGCCCTCTCCCCTTTAAAAACCTGGTTTGATTTTTAAAAGTCATCTTGAATAAGAGGCTATTCAACTTTATGAACTATTTCAAACAACAGAGACTGCATAAGAATGACCTGTTTATCCACTCTCTACATTTAATACTTGTTAACATTTTGCCCTATTCCCTTCAGAGCACTTCTTGAAGAACAAATGCTTTAAAGTGATAAAACACTGCAACGCATTCTGTAGATTTCCCAAATCCTATCCCCCTTCCTACCCACGAAGCTGTAGTTCTCATTTTGCATGTCTGTGTTATATATGTATGTATTTATATTTGTAGTATATAATCATGGTAAACACTAAGCACTTTCAGAAACTTGTTTAAATCTTACAGCAACCCTATGAGTTATTGGTATCCTCGTTTTACTGTTGAAGAGACACCAAATAAAGTGCCCACACCGGAGAGTTAGTAAGTAGAAGAGCTAGTACTCAGACCCTGGCCGTCTGGTCCCAGAGTCACTTAACCCTCCTTTTCTGTGGTTCTCAGGAGTGAAGATACATGTGGATCCAGGCTGTTTATGTAAAATTGCTGCTGGCTATTCCACTGTATGAGCATGCTGCAGTCTGTCTTTTTAACCTCACTCTTGTGTTAACACTGTTTCATGGCATTACACACTGCAATAGTCATGTACAGGCCTCCTTGTACAAAGGTGTGGACATTTTTCCAGGCTCAGTGCCTGAAAGTGAACTTGGTAGGGCCAAAGGACCAGCCCCTAGCTGGTGTTACTAGATTTTGTTAAATGACTCCAGAGTACCAACATGTTGGGCCCACCCACAGGGTAGGAAAATTCCCATTTTCCTGGTTCCAGCTCTTGGTATTGTCAACTTGGTAAATTGGTGCAAGATAAAAGTGGTGTTTCATTGTTTTAATGGCAGCAGGAACTGCGGGGTGGATTATTAATAGAATGATCATAGAATTTATCTCCCAAACCAGAACACCCTGTGGGAGAAAGGACACTAAGCAGACAGAGTGCTGGGACAGCATCCTCCTCAGCACTGTCCCAGGCAAACCGGGACAGACCTAGTTATTAAATATTTTTTGCCTGTTTATTAGCTTAAAGTCAGTGTGGTTTTGTTGCCGTATTTCCTGTCGAGTTATTTTAAAACGCAGGGCAGCTGTAAAATGTAACTCTGTGTTTCAGTGTTCTTAAATATCACGATGACGTCTTTCTTTTAGATTAAGGTCACCATTGCGGGTTTGACTGGAAAAGACCCTGTACAGTGCAGCCGAGACGTTGTTATTTGTCCCGACGCCAGTCTGGAAGATGCCAGAAAAGAGGTTTGTTCTCCATACCTGGCATCGCCCCTCCTGTGGCTTCTTAATCAGTTACTTACAGTGTCTTTTGAGTCCATCTAAGGCTGTTGTTAGCACAGACTTATTTTAGGAAAGTTACTTTGCTTGAATATCTTCCCCATGTGTAAGCCCTGTAACCGGAGGACTTTGCCTTACTCCATCGTGTAGAAACAGAACCTGGCAGTTCCCCGGTCCGCCGGGTCCTCAGTAGGTGGCTGGGTGGGTCAGTGGCTGAATGGGATGCTTTCAGCAGTGTCTGGCTCACACAGGCAGCCTTGCTTCCTCTTATAACCTGGTTACTTGATACAGGAGAATCAGCTACATGCTCCTATTCATTTCTGAGTCTGATTCGAAAGTCACTGTTGACCTTCCCTTCTGCAGTGGTGCAGAAGTAGTCGTGCAGTTCATAGTGGGGAACAAGTCACAGCCGATCAGTGGTTGGGTGAAGAGGAGTTCCACTTAAATTACGTCACCTCTTCAGTGTCTTTAGAATTGTGGTTCGTACACTTGGGGGTGACCAACTCTTTTGGGAATCTGTCAGAAGCAGAGGTCTCTTTCCTCAGAAGTGTGCTGCCTACACACGCACAGACACTTTTGCACATGCCCCTTGCATGGGAACAGGTTCAGCCAGCCAGTGTGACAGGCGTGGAGGCGGAACCAGCTCACGAGGGCCATCTGTGTCCCCTGAGGAACCTGGGAGTACCAGTCCCCATACTTAGCGGTCCTCAAATGCATAGAAAAAGTTGATTGCTTTCTAGTAAGTTCACATGTTTCAGTGGTAGATCGCAGAGTAGAGGATATCAGTATTTACGTATAAATTATCGAAACTTTCTAAATAGCATATTAAAAATGCGAGTCGAAGTAAATGTGTGTTCTCTGTTCTTTTTCATCCTGTTGTGAGAACAGTGGTTCTGTTCTATGCCTATGTATGGGTCAATTCAAAATCGAAAAGGAGTAAAAGAAATCTATACTTCACATATTTTCTTTTTAGTGTTTAGTTTTGCTGGGTTTTAAAACAACAGTGGGTTGTTTCTAGTCTCTAAAAGTAATTCTAAATAATAGATGTTGCTCTGAGTATGTACTAAATTTTCATTTTATAATTGGCTCAATGACTAAGTTTTTAAAACTTTTTAAAAAAAATATCTGAAAGTATTGTTAAACCAATTTCCATTTTGTAATTTCAGCAAATTTGAAATCAGATTTCTAGGATGTTCTGGTGTTTGGGATACTAAAATATTACATCATATTTCTCCCCCAACATTTCATTTTTCATAAAGTTAAAAATATTTTTCTTTGCCTTTTACTTAAAACATATTTTTTTATTATATTTCATTACGATATATATTCTTGTTGAAAATAACTCATACAGCATAGACATCCATAAAGTCAAAATGTTGAATGTCTCATTCTCTCCCTCCCTTCCATCCTACACTGCTCCCCATTAGCAGTTGGGGTGTCTCCTTTGTCTGTGAGTATCTGTATACTATACACATATACGTGGGGGTATGTGTGTGTATAGTATACCTGTACGTCTGCAGACACATCTACGTGCAATTGTTTTTCCTTTTTGTAGGACAGGTCATACTGCACCTGCAGTTCTGCAACATGGACGTCCTTTCATAGTGTTGTGCGCAGATCGTCTGCGTATTTACTGGTTACGACATTCCATCGTAGAGACATACCTTACTTTAGTTAACTTTTCAGTGGACTGTTTTTTGCTATGACCCATATTTAAAATATGAAAATTTCATTGACTGTCAACTTGAATGCCATTTCAAATGGAATGTTGTTTTTTAAACTCTTGCAGGGACCTTATGATGTGGTGGTTTTGCCAGGAGGTAATCTGGGTGCACAGAATTTATCTGAGGTAAGAACTGTGTAAAAAAAGTATTTCACCATCTGCCTGTGCTCTGTTGATTTTTGTTGTTATTAAAATATTTCAGGAAGGAGGCTGTGAGTGAAATAGGAACAAGTGAAATGAACAATTCTAACTTAATTTAAAAAAACATTTCTAATGACACATGCTGCAGAAGTCAGCGGAATTGGAGGACAGTTGTTTATGAACACATTTGGTGAACACAGTCCACTTGTTAGAGCTCATTTCCCCCTCAGCAGCCGAAGGAACAGCATGTGGGTCCTACACAGGTTGCACATAGGAGGACTAGTGCCCAGCTGCCTCCTCAGCAGTCGGGGAGCGGGGCGGGGGGCCACGGCATCAGACCTCTGCTTCCTTGTGCGGCGCAGGCAGGAGCCAGCCTGCAGGACGGGAGCGAGGGCAGCCAAGCCCATGCAGCAGGTGGAGTGAGACGTTTGGGCTGTGGGACCGTCCTGCCTGCAGCGGAAGACACCCAAATACCACGTTCCCACGGTCCTTCTCCTTGGGGGGGGGGGGGGTCACTGTCCCAGGGAAAGCGACTTTCTCATCTCAACTTCCACCATCATTCGGAAGAAGACGCCTTTCTCTTATAATAAATGCCTTGATTGGGTGTAGGAAGGAATGTAGAAACATGATGAATTTGATCATTTCAGATTAGTCATTTAGCAGTACTGTCGAGAACAGTCAGATTTCAGGTCTCCCTGGTTAAGCGCAGTCGGGGCCACTGGAGTTCCAGCGATGCTGCGTGTGGCCTCACGGGAACCGGTGTGTTTGTGTCTCGAGCAGTCCGCCGCCGTGAAGGAGGTCCTGCGGGAGCAGGAGCGCCGGAAGGGCCTCATCGCCGCCATCTGCGCAGGTAGGGCAGGCCCTGGGCCGGAGCCCGGCGCTCTTCTCCGGACTGCTGCCGGTCCGGGCTTAGAGGGCGCCGACCCGGCTGCTGCTCCCCTTCATCGGGGTGAGCGCGCCTGGGTGGGCGTTCTTGGTTTGGGGCACGGAGTCGCCGTCATTTCAGAAACGAGTAGTTTCCTGCCTCTTCTGCCTTTGGTCCGCATTCTGCAGCCCTCAGCGTTTCTGTGCTTGGTTGGGGGGGTGGGGGGGATCGGGCCTCTGGAGCTCGGGGCGGCTGTTACAGCCCATCTCGATGCCTGGCCCGTCGTGGTGCCAGCGCCGCCAGGAGGGGCGTCGGACAGTCGCAGCAGCGCGGCCTGTGCTCGCCCAGCGCTCAGTGAGGGCTGGCCCGGGCTGGCTGCCACCTCTTAGAGTAAGGTCCTTGGTGCTTTGTAGAGGCCCCACGTCTTTGAAGCTTAGTAATATGAGTTCTGACACCATTTTAAATCCCTCTTGCCGAGGGTCGGTGACGCTCTGCCATCTCGCGTTGTTTGCGCAGTGGGGTCCGGCCAGGGCCTCGCTGTTGCTGGTCTTCACTGAGTGTTCGGCGCTAAGTGGACTAGAGGGCGAGCGCCGGGTGGAGGGAATGGCACGACGTGCTGTTCAGCACAGGCTTCGTCACGGAAGCCGCAGTGCGGGCTCCTGGGGGCTCGGAGCCGTGGTCCTCGGCGTGCTCGGAGGGCCTGAGAGGTCAGCGCACGTCCTGTGAAGACATTATTTGCCTTTGCCCTTGTTCTCACAGCAGTGTGTTGATGACAGTGTTCGGGCGTGGCGTGTCTGCTCGAGGACCCTTGTGCTGTAAAGATTTCCCCAGTTAATTTCTAGCATGGCAGCTGCATAACAGCTAGCGGTTCCTAAGACCCAAACGTTTGAGAACCGCTGCGTTAGAGACTGGGAACGGCCCTGGGGGGCACCACCCTGCAGGCTCTGTCCTCGGTTCTGCTCAGCACCAGCTTCTTGACCTGCCCTTGGGCACAGCGACATCTGTCTGCTGAAGGGCCAGCAGTCACGGCAGCCCAAGCAGCTGCCCTCTGGGGAGGAAGTCGTAGGTCCTCTTGGTCGTGCATGAGTCCAGGGCCCCTCCCCAGCCTCATGCTTGGGCTCTCAGCAAGGCAAAAAGGAAGGTTTGGGGCTGGGCTGTTCCCTTCTGACTCTGCTGAAAGTAAAAACCGCACGTCAGTTTTCCTCTGTCACTGGGTAGCAGAACCACCAGCCACATCTGGCTCACTGCTGGGCGCTCAGGCGGGCTGGTCTTAGTCATGGAGATCGACATTGAAGGACCAGCATTCTCGCCAGGTGCTTGTGCTCGGGCCTGCTCCGCTCTCCTGGGCACTGCGAAGCACAGGAGGAAGTGTGACGAAAAAGAAGATGATTCTTAGTGTGGCACTTAGAACTTGGGGACTATTGAACTGAAAGAATATTAGCTTACCCCTAATACTGAGTGAGACAACTTGGAAGGGAGACTAGCATGAAAATAAAATGAGATTCACTCTGTATAGGGGAAAGGGAAGGCTTGAAGCCTAAAAGTGAAGGACCCAGCAGTGGTCAATGCCTGAGTCTAGATACAATCTCAGGGGGACCCCTGGAGGGGCTGGGGGGTGGCCGTGGTGTTCTTTCTGTAAACCACCACACGGTGGCGCCGATGGCTACCTCTTGGCTGCCCAAGGGGATTCTGTCTTCTGTTTTCCTTGCCTCCTGCTCAGAGCTGGGTCCCTGAAGAATTTGAAGTAATAGTAGTAGTTAAATATCTCCTCTCTCATTTTCCAAATAGGATTTTGAAGCCCCAGACAGCAGCATTTATGAGCTTACCATAATGAGTAAGGCATTAGTAAATTCCTACATTCAAACTGCAACGTAAATGTATTGACACATTACTGTAGGCAGCAAATTTGTCCCCCGAGAGGAGCAGCCTAAAAACTCCCACGGCGCTGCATGACCACTCTCCTCGCTGCACGTAAGATACTGTAGGCATTATTCCTTATTTCTTAAAACCTTACGAAATGATAAAGGATAATTCATTCAAATAAAACTTGAGTGATGATTATGCAATTTTTATAGACTTTTAAAATTTGCTGCCACACATAGCTGTCTCGTCTTGAGGACACCAGTAAGGTGGAGAGAGACACCCACTATGCACGAGGCTGTTGACTGAAAAGGCTGGGTCTGAAACCGACGCTCAGCATTGGCAGAAACCTGTGGAATTACGAATTGTTTGACTCTCCTTTGTAGCAGCTGTGGTCTGAGGACCTGTTGGTTTATTATATGAGTGCTTTTCACTCGGAATCATGTTGCAAAAGGAAAGGTCAGTAAGAGCACGTCTCGGGTTTGCTGAAACTCGAGTGCAGGGCCTGGCCCAGGGTCTCAGCCACGGTGCCCTGACCATTGGGGAGGTCAGAGTGCGATCCTAACGCGTGTTTTTCTAGGTGCGAAGGAAAAGGTAAAATAACTACTTTTTAAGAAGTTTTAAGATATAACAGAGATTTAAAACCTTTTTGGTCTTAGTCCTTATTTGAAGACTGTTTCACATAAAACAAGCTTGTGATTGTCAGTGAAGCTGACCATTTCAGTGAACACATTTTCATAAATCACAGCAACTACATATGTTTTTAAATTTCATTTTAAGAGGAAAGGCAGAGGATTCCAAACTGACATTTGTTCATGGTTCTCTTAAGTTTTTTGGTTTTTTTTTAATCCTCACCCGAGGACATTTTTCCATTTTTTGTTCAGATAGAGTGGGAAGGAGAGAGAGAAACATCAACATAAAAGGGACACATCGAGTGGCTGCCACCTGCACGACCCAACCAGGGCCGGGGACAAACCAACCGAGATACGTGCCCTTAGCGGGAACCAAACCTGGTTCTCTCTGGACCACAGGCCAACGCTCGAACCGCTGAGCTAAACCGGCCGGGGCCTCTTAAGTATTGATGAACGCTAGTGCCTTCACGTCTCGGACACCCCGGTGTCTCCTTCAGGGCTGGGCGGCGGTCTGCTCACTTTAATGACTTTACCACCTGCTGTGTTTGGATGATAGATGATGAGTGCGAATTTTTTATTTTCAAGTGAAAAAAACCAGCAATCGAGTCCAGAGGTTCGGAGAGTACCAGTTGCCTTCGATGTGTAACTAGATGTTCCTTTTGCTAAGAGTTCAGGCAAGACGCTTAGCCCTGGTGGTCTCCCCATTCTTGTACCACCGACACACCCACTGCCTGTCCTTGAGGTGGGCCACAGTTTATGTGTGCTCCTTGGGTGGCAAGGTGAATCTTTTTGATTAAATGGGTTTTGAAGTATTTTGAATTTGTACACTTTGCCAGAAGTGCCCAGTAGATGGTTTATTATACATTTACTTAACTCTCATACTAAGAAGTGTGTAATTTCAGAGTCATAAGTATGTTTAGGTAAGAGCCTCCTGATTTTGAACAATACTTCTGCTGTTGCAACTTTTAAAGCATGGGTTTTTCTATGCCGATACTGAAATCTTTTCTGTTAATCTTCTTTTTAGGTCCTACAGCTCTGTTGGCTCATGAAATAGGTTTTGGAAGCAAAGTTACAACACACCCACTTGCTAAAGACAAAATGATGAATGGAAGTAAGTATGTGCTCCTGTTGTAACATGCGGACAGACCTGCTCAAAAAGCGGCAGTCTGGCTCCATCTCCCACCGTGTTGTCCCTAGGCAGAGGTCCTCTGGGGCGTGGGGTGGGATGCGCCTTGCTTTCTCTGCAAGTTTTTGACCAGGAGGTGGCGCTGACTGCAGGCCAGAGGGCCGGGAGGGAGCCCTGGTGGGGCGGTTCCCGAAGATCACAGGTTGAGGTGATGGTGACATGCCAGTTCAGCTAGTGTTTTTACCAGATACTTTGCCACTGGCCTGGGGGTAGATTTTAAACCTCGACAGCAGTTTCAGAAAGTGCCCGTTTGCCCATAGTCCAAAGTGAAATGAACGTTGCCCTCTTGTGGGGAACGCCGGGGCGGTAGCCCATTTCCTTCGGCCACTCGCTTCTTCCATAAATATCAGCCGGACATGTCAATTTTATCAGTTCACGTTTGTAGAGGAATTTCTTTCCGTGATAAGAAATGCAAACAGGAGAGAAGGGGGTGGAGTAAACGTGTGTTCCTCTTCTCTCCAGCTGCCCCCCTTCTCCTTGTCAGGGGTGCCCTGTGCTCAGAGTTTCTTGTGTAGCTCTAGAATGTTCTCTGCACATACTCATTATCCTTTGTAGTTTAATCTTTTACTCAAATGAGAGTTTCTGAGTAGATTGTTCTGCAGGTTGCTTTTTTTTTTTTTTTTTTTTTTTTTTTTATTATTTTATTTTTTTATTTTTTTGTTACAGATATTTTACCTTTTTACCCCATTGGCACCCCCCACCCCACCCCCCCTCCACCCTGTCCCCGGCTTAGTTGTCCATGTCCATTGGTCATGCATACATGCATATGAGTTCTGTGGTTAATCTCTTCCCACCCCCCCCCCCCATCCCCTCTTCTGAGGGATGTCAGTCTGTGCCCTACTTCCATGTGTCTGGGTCTACTGTATTCCTCAGACTGTTATGTTCATTATATTCCGTATATAAGTGAGATCATGTGGTATTTGTCTTTTTCTGCTTGGCTTCTTTCACTTAGGATAATACTTTCCAGGTCCCTCCATGTCGTCTCAAAGGATAAGAGATCTTTCTTTCTTACCGCTGCATAGTATTCCATTGTGTATATGTACCACAGCTTTTTGATCCATTCGTCTACTGGTGGACACTTGGGCTGTTTCCAGATCTTAGCTATTATAAATAGTGCTGCTATGAACATGGGGGTACATATATTCTTCCTGATTGGTGTTTCAGGCTTCTTAGGGTATATTCCCAGCAGTGGGATCACTGGGTCAAATGGAAGTTCAATTTTTAATTTTTTGAGGTAGCACCATATTGTTTTCCATAGCGGCTGCACCAGTCTGCATTCCCACCAGCAGTGTATTAGAGTCCCCTTTTCTCCACACCCTCGCCAACACTTGTTGTTTGATGATTTGTTGATGGCGGCCATTCTGACAGGTGTGAGGTGATACCTCATTGTTGTTTTAATTTGCATCTCTCTGATGATTAGTGATGTTGAGCATTTCTTCATATGTCTCTTGGCCATTTGTATGTCCTGTTTGGAGAGGTGTCTATTCAACTCCTCTGCCCATTTTTTAATTGGGTTCTTTGTCTTCCTTTTGTGGAGTTGTATGAGCACTCTGTATATATTGGAAATTAACCCCTTATCTGATACATCATTGGCAATGATGTTCTCCCATACAGTGGGTTGCCTTTCCATTTTGATGATTGTTTCTTTTGCTGTGCAGAAGCTTTTTAGTTTGATGTAGTCCCATGTGTTCATTTTCTCCTTTATTTCTGTTGCCTTAGGTGATGTATCAGTGAAAATTCTGCTCCGTATGATGTCCGAAATTTTGTTGCCTACATTTTCTTCTAGAATTTTTATGGATTCACGGGTCACATTTAAGTCTTTTATCCATTTTGAGTTTATTTTTGTGTATGGTGTAAGTTGATGGTCTAGTTTCATTTTTTTGCATGTAGCTGTCCAATTTTCCCAACACCATTTATTAAAGAGGCTGTCTTTACTCCACTGTATGCTCTTGCCACCTTTGTCAAATATTAATTGAGCGTATGCCTTGGGTCCATTTCTGGGTTTTCAGTTCTGTTCCACTGGTCTATATGCCTGTTCTTGTGCCAGTACCAGGCTGTTTTGGTTACAGTCGCTTTGTAGTATAACCTGATATCTGGTATTGTGATCCCTCCAACTTTGTTCTTCTTTTTCAAGATTGCTGTGGCTATTCGGGGTCTTTTTTGGTTCCATATGAACTTTTGAAGTATTTGTTCTAGTTCTATGAAATATGTTGTTGGTATTTTGATAGGGATTGCATTGAATCTATAGATTGCTTTGGGTAGAATGGACATTTTAATGATGTTAATTCTTCCAATCCATGAACAGGGTATGTGCTTCCACTTTTTTATATCTTCCTCTATTTCTTTTTTCAATGACCTGTAGTTTTCTGCAAATAGGTCCTTTACTTCTTTGGTTAAGTTTATTCCTAGGTATCGTAATTTTTTTGGAGCGATGGTAAATGGGATTGTTTTTTCAGTTTCTCTTTCTGTGAGTTCATCATTGATGTACAAGAATGCCGTCGATTTCTTGACGTTAATTTTGTATCCTGCTACTTTGCCAAATTCATTTATTAAGTCTAATAGATTTTTGATGGAGTCTTTAGGGTTTTCTATGTACAATATCATGTCATCTGCAAATAATGACAGTTTCACTTCCTCCTTTCCAATTTGGATCCCTTTTATTTTTTCTTCATGTCTGATTGCTGTGGCTAAGACTTCCAGTACAATGTTAAATAAGAGTGGCGAAAGTGGACATCCCTGTCTTGTTCCTGTTCTTAATGGGAATGTTTTTAGTTTTTGTCCATTGAGTATGATGTTGGCTGTAGGTCTTTCATATATGGCCTTTATTATGTTGAGATATGATCCCTCTATTCCTACATTGCTGAGCGTTTTTATCAGAAATGGATGCTGGATTTTGTCGAATGCTTTTTCAGCATCTATTGATATGATCATGTGGTTTTTATTCTTCATTTTGTTTATGTGGTGTATCACGTTTATTGATTTGCGAATATTGTACCAGCCTTGCATCCCTGGAATGAATCCCACTTGGTCATGGTGAATAATTTTTTGATGTATTTCTGGATCCGATTTGCTAGTATTTTGTTCAGGATTTTGGCGTCTATGTTCATCAGGGATATTGGCCTGTAGTTTTCTTTCTTCGTAGTGTCTTTTTCTGGTTTTGGAATTAGAATTATGCTGGCCTCATAGAACGTGTTTGGAAGTCTTCCTTCTTCTTGAATTTTTTGAAATAGTTTGAGGAGAATGGGTGTTAGTTCTTTTTTGAATGTTCGGTAAAACTCCCCCGTGAAACCATCTGGGCCTGGGCTTTTGTTTGCTGGGAGAGTCTTGATTACCTCTTCAATTTCCTTAGTTGTTATTGGTCTGTTCAAGTTTTCTATCTCTTCCGGGAATAGTTTAGGGAGACTGTGTGTTTCTAGAAATTTGTCCATTTCGCTGAGATTGTCGAATTTGTTGCCATATAGTTGTTCATAGTAGTTGTTAACGATCTTTTGTATTTCCGTGGTGTTGGTTGTTACTTCTCCTCTTTCATTTCTGATTTTGTGTATTTGGGTTCTCTCTCTTTGTTTCTTGGAGAGTCTAGCTAAGGGTCCATCTATCTTGTTTATCTTTTCGAAAAACCAGCTCTTTGTTTCATTGATCCTTTGAATTGTTTTTTTGGTCTCTATGTCATTTATTTCTGCTCTGATCTTTACTATTTCCTTCCTTCTACTTGCTCTGGGGTTTTCTTTTTGTTTGCTTTCTAATTCTTTAAGTTGTGAGGTTAGACAGTCAATTAGAAATTTTTCTTGTTTTTTGAGGTAGGCCTGTAGTGCTATGAACTTCCCTCTCAGAACTGCTTTCGCTGCATCCCATAGATTTTGTGTTGTTGTGTGTTCATTTTCATTGGTTTCCAGGAAGTTTTTAATTTCTTCCTTGATCTCCTCGGTGACCCATTCATTGTTTAATAACATGCTATTTAGCCTCCATGTGTTGAAATGTCTTTGCATGTTCTTGTTGCAATTGATTTCTAGTTTCATGCCATTGTGATCTGAGAAGATGCTTGATATGATTTCAATCTTCTTGAACTTGTAGAGATTTAGTTTGTGTCCTATCATGTGGTCTATCTTTGAGAATGTCCCATGTGCACTTGAGAAGAATGTGTATTCTGTAGTTTTGGGGTGTAATTCTCTGTAGATATCTATTAAATCCATTTGGTCTAGTGCTTCATTGAGAGTCTCTGTTTCCTTGCTAATTTTTTGCCTAGAGGATCTATCCAGTGCTGTCAACGGGGTGTTGAAGTCCCCTGCTATGATTGTATTGTTGTCGATTTCTCCTTGGAAGTCCTCCAGAAGATTTTTAATATATTTTGGTGCTCCTATATTGGGTGCATATATGTTTATCAAGGTTATATCTTCCTGTTGGATAGATCCTTTCAATATTATGTAGTGGCCGTCTTTGTCTCTAGTTATGGTCTTCATTTTGAAATCTATTTTATCAGATATGAGAATTGCTACCCCAGCTTTTTTTTGCTTTCCATTTGCTTGGAAAATTTTTTTCCATCCCTTCACTTTCAACCTATGTGAGTCTTTCGTTGAGAGGTGGGTCTCTTGTAAACAACATATAGATGAGTCATGCTTTCTTATCCAATCAGCTACTCTGTGTCTCTTTATGGGAGCATTCAATCCATTTACGTTTAAGGTGATTATTGATATGTACTTATTTATTGCCATTTTTGTTTAGTGTGGTTCTATTTTTCTTCCCATTTCTACTGCTAATTACAGCAGTCCTTTTAACATTTCTTGCAGTGCTGGTTTGGTGCTAATGTATTCCCTTAGCTTTTTTTTGTCTGGGAAGCTCTTTATTTGATCTTCTATTTTGAATGATAGCCTTGCTGGGTAGAGTAGTCTTGGATTCAGATTCTTGTTTTTCATGACCTTGATTACTTC